GTACGCGGTCCGAATGGGGCAAAATTTCTTAGTCTATAGGCTGGAAGCGTTTATTTCGAAAACTCTCGGCTGAAGGCCCGCAGGTCAAGCTAGGTCCTGGGAGTCTTGGTGCGTCATTGGCAATGATACAGCGTCGCCGGTTCAGAACCTATTTAGCGAAGTTTGGAGGATTTTATTATTCATTCACCTTTTCAGGTTTACCAAATGACCACGTCCCACCATGAGGGGCTCCGCCCATCCACATAAGGGGTTAATCAGGGCGCAGTTAATGTTGTTTTCGGATGGGCGCCATTCAGTGCTAATCTGAGTCTAAAGGCGTGATTTTTTCCTTTACGCTTTGTCTTAGCAGAGCGCAGATAACCATGTGCCCTACACATGCTCTTGCACCAAAAATGAGCATTATAATTGCTTTCGGGATACCAAACATCTGCAGCGCGCAGTTTCCTTCACTCCCGACAACAAAGGTTGTGGCCTCAAATCGGCGTCCACAGGCGCTGGATGGCGCCGGCGCTCAAAGGACATTCGTAATAAAAGCATCAAATGACCCATGTGTAGAAGTTCATATGCAATTCGGTACTTAAAAACCCGCAAGCGCCAAAGTGATGCCTATTGGCGCCATATGGCGCAGCGACAAATGGATGTTAATTCCGTGTTCAATCTCGACCAATCCCTACATTCAATAGTTTCATGTTGACAGAAGTATTTCCGAGGTTTCTGGCATGGTAGTAGCTAAAAAATTCAAAAAAAATTGAATTTAATAAATTTTTCTGAAGACAGCAATGCTTCTCTCGCTCATACTGTAGTACGTTCACCTTTCACAAGTAATGAGATAGCAAAAAAAAGATCGGTAGACTACAACGGCATTAACCGAAAGGGAGGCAAAAGTTTATGAGCCACCAGTGGCTCACACTTTCCCGCGTGGCCACTTCTGTACGAGCCACCGGTGGCTTATATTGTCATCAAAGTCTTAACAGGTAGTGGGACCTGTGCTACACGTGAGCCAAACAAGGCCTCATCCTCCTGAGTAGGCGAAGACCATAATAGATAATTCACTCTATTGTCACAACGTTACAGGCCCTCGACTCATGCCTACATTCTCGCGGCGGTTCCCAGGAGGCATTACTTATTGACATAGCAAATTGGTAAGCATGTGTTTACACTTTCTATTAGTGCCACAAGTAAAAATTTCGCACATGTCTTTAGACGGAAACTAAACAAGATACTGTGTCCTCCCTCTGCGCTCCAAGGTCTATCCTTCAAAGAATCCTGCTATATATGAGCACCCATGTTCGTATGATGATGCCTGTGTGTGGCTAGCCGGTCCTAACTTTCTTTCTTTGGCTTGACCTTACATTAGAAAGTTGAAATTGATAAGTGATGTAGCGGGTGCAACTGCAGCATTATTGACGGGTGAAAAGAAGTGATAACAACTGATATGGGCTGCCAAGGAGCGCTAGTAAGGGGAGAGGGGTCCCCAAGTTCATGGCGCCAGTTCCAGCAATGGTGCCACTGCCTACTCTGGCTCAGGGATAAGGAGTGTATGGGTTGATAATAGGCCTTTTCCAGCGCTATTCTACTTCGAAGCTGTTCAGCCTTCAACAAATTACAAAATTCTAGCAAAGATAGGACGGGCGGCAAGTTACTACATCACCAAAAGATTAGAGGTTGAAATCCCCTTTATTTCTACCCAGTATTGCCAGTATTGAGTATCGCAGTCAGCATGCACTTCGTTGTTTCCTTTGAAGGGAGGGGGGAGTGCATGTAAAGCTTGTCCAGCGGGAAAAAGGATATATTTCATTGGGCTGGTATTTCAGAAAAGGCAGGTTGCAATAAGTCTAGAAGGGGGCCAGAGCCAAAGGTACGGTGGGAGGATATGAGGTCGGTGATAAGCGTCCGTTGTGATGCATGCGACAGTACGCCACCCAACTTGTAAGGCAATAACTGATATGGAAATAAAAGTTCCTTACTTAGGTTTGGAGCGATCCCATTCCTCAATCAGACCTTGGAAAGACAATTCGATGTTTTCGAGGCAGCTGGTTCTCTTGAACAGTTACGTGCGCTTGGAACGCTGATGTCATCATGGGTATCAGTCGACTATAAAGACCCAAAGCGAAACGTATTGTACATCTCTCAGGTAATAATTTTGAAGTTACCTTCTCACATAACGAAGCCTTAGTTGACGCAATTCTTGGTGAAGGAAGATTCTTTGCCAAAGAAGTATGCTGTGTGCCAAAAAGGATTCATAAGTACTTCGTGCCCTATGCACGGTTAGGTAAAGTATCTAAGAGCTTATGCGTTTTCAGATCTTCTCTTCAAACCGAACACATTCTAATAACAAAGGTATCTAGCACGAGAATGTGCACTATTTTCGTCAAAAAGTGGTTCCCTTGCTTCCAAAATTTTCCTGATTTCATGCAAGAGAAGCACATAGAACACTAGTGGGATGCTTCTGAAAACAGTATTTAACCCACACGGCGGGTGCTAGGAGACTATATGAGGCAGCGAGCAGAATGGGCTAAATCAGATCTCTGTGGTGCTAATCGTTCAGAATCTCAAGTACCAATTTAGTATTGTGAACCATGGAAGGTACAAAGCTTCTGTCTTGGGTTCTTGTACTTTACCTTTCCCGAGAGAACAGTTTAGAGGTGTTGCCCGATCATCAGTGACCAATTCAAGCCACTGGCTACACTTCTGAAGGTACAAAATTACCGATATTCTTTTTATTATGACTAACGACAAGGCACTGATCTTGAAGTCTTGCCCTCGGCCACTTTCGCGTACTCATCACCGTCCTGGAATCAACCTTGCCATTCCTCGTCTTCCAGATCTCGAACTACTCCCACCAGTCGTACCTCTGCGCCTTCTCAATTCGTCCCTGCTTTTTATACCGAGGCATTGATGAATAACTTGGAGAAAGATCTTTCCCAAGCGTTTTAATGTAAATATTGCTAACTGGTCCGTCGAAAAAAAAACATTTGAAGAAGCTGGGAACTTGAGCGGCGGATGGCTATTTGCTTGTATCTGTATAAGAGAAAAGAGAGAGGGAAAACGAAGTGTAAAAGGCACGTTCAGCGGCAGATTCTTTGTGTGAGGATGATCAAACTTTCTCTGAGGGAAAGACCTGGAGCCGTTTGGGAGTACTTCTCCTTCTTGTCCCAGTTTGACAACGCCATCTTTACAATCCTCCCTAGACGTTGCCTTTCTTCCATTGACTTTTCTTCTGGATTTATAGAAAAGCCTTCTGCATCTTGGTTATATTTCCAGTCTGCTCGTCTTCTTGTATTTGTCGACTTTCAGTGCCTTCGTGACGCCCTCATATTTTATCCCCTTGATGGTGAGCTTGAATACTGACGTTTACGATGTGTTGCAAAGAGGAGAAGAAATCCTTACATCAGTCAAATAGGGTCTTCTTAATGTCGATGGTAGTGAGCAGCAAATTGTTTGTCAGGTTTATTAGATCAACCTGACAAACAATTTGCTTCAGTCGACTGTTCGTTTCGGCGTATTGATGACGACAGGTCTGTCCTTCCTCCATCCCTACAGCAATTTTGTTTGTTTACAAAGGCTGTTGAGCGTCTTGCTTCGTGGGTCCTCGGTTTATCTTTAAAGGGGACCTTCCTGTAGTTTTTGCGAAGTGTGATGACATCGGCACGTTTGTCCTGGATCCGTGTGATATCTGACACAGCGGATTTCATCCGTTGCACCAATGCATGGTTCAAGCGGCTCTCGCCTTTCAATGTTTTTTAATTCACTAATTGACAAAGCGGTTTGTTCTGCTCTCGAAAAAGGTCATTTAGTAGATTTTTGCGAAGAGGACTTAAATTACCCACCGAAGTTGGTCTGCTCAGTGACACTGACACCTCGACGCAGTAAATTGAAGAAGAAAGCTGGTGACCTCGATATTGAACCTCCAAAATTGACTAGTTATACAACGTCTTTGAATTTTCTTTCGAGATTCAGTTTCAAATTGTACTTCTTCTATTAGGTTGTCCGGAAAGTTTTGAGAAAGTTTCACACTTTAGTTTGAAGAAGTGTAGCAAGCGAATGCCCAACAGAACGTCATATATATCAAGTGCTATGAGAAAGAGAAATGTTTGTAGATCAATACTAATGCTGGTTGTTATTATTCTCCATTGTTGGTATGATTTGACATTACCTGAAAAATGTACGAGCGCGCACGACTCCCAACGCCTTTTACTTCATCTTCTGGCTCCTCTATCGGTCAAATCGGGAATGAGGAAGAGCCTCCGATACTGGACGAAGAATCCTTCACAATCATCTGCACTGGGAGATAAATCGGTCTCTTCCATGGTTTAGATTAGATGTTGCGTACGCCCCTCATTCTCAGTACTCGCTTAGTTCTAGCTCCCACGCAAGGTAATCCCGCCCAAAAGGTAAGGGACATAGGATGGACAATATTTATTATAACTATGAACTACTATCTCTTATTGTTGTTGATAAGTGTTAAATGAGCTGGTTGAAATTTCTCAACTTTCCGGACACCCTAATACAAAACGTCTGGTTATCGTAGCAAGAAGCTGATGTCGGTGAAGGTAGATGTGTACTGAGTCCTTGCCTTACAAAACGTGGATTAATAGTACACCAAATCTTGCCGAATCTGAGCTACGGGACATGTCTTTCGTGAGTGTACATGTAATCCAGGTTTTATTCTGTTAAGGACCACGGTTCATGAAAAACGCTTATGAGGCCTTCAAAATTTCACCTGAAACTTTCAGCCTTCACTTCCTATGCCTCGTGAGTATTATGTGTTGCCGCAGTTCACACCTATGCTCAAACAGCGCACGATGATGGTTGAACAAATGCTCACAATGTTCTCTCTTCTAGTCTTGGACGATCCCACACCATTCCTTGGATTTATTAAAGAGGTTTCATCTTTGATCATTTGCAATTAGAATGTTGCATATGGAATGCCGGACGCCGCAAAAAAACCTTGCCTAAGATACAGTATTAAAGGCTGCGAATGACATCGTAAAATTGGAAAGAGATATAGCCATGGCTTCGTGGCCGGATAGTGAGATGAGGTAGGTTCTATCATTTCATCTCCCTTGTGATACGAGCTGCAAAAAGAATATTTTCATTCAGAGACTATGCTAAACAATACAACAGCTATAGCGTGGACGAACTGAATAGAATATACTCAAATATTAATTGGGAAGAATACCTTGCCAGGCTGTTGTCTGAAGATTTAGAAGCAGAAAAAATCGCTACTAAAAAGGTAGTGTTTTGCACTTGTCAATATTTTGAACAAAATGTTCAATTGTAGATAGAGTTGCAGTGATATTGCAGGGCATCATTAAACTAGCCTGAACAAAAAACTTCTGGGACTTTGAGCTACCTATTGTTGTTTGGAGAATAGACAGTTTTATTCAACCAAAAGAACTTCCCCGCTGCGGGGTCCTCTCTTTGGGCTCTACTGTCGACCCCTGCGGAGTCGAGGAGTTCGGGACAGGACACACCATTGCATTGGGATTTTGGCCGAGGTCGTACGACCTCCACCGCTTTTTCATGATTCGTTGCAACAAATAGAGATAGATGGATTCATAATGCGTGAACAAATAACCTTTGAAGACGAACTGTACTTTCATCTCCAAAGACGATCCTTTCCCAAACGCGTCGCAGGGTGCACAATGCGGTCCGCCCAATTGCAATCAAGTGCGCTCAGTTTTCCCTCTTGAAACGCGCACACGAGAACCCAGCGCACGCCACCGTTAGCGCGAACAGCGACGGGGATTCTATTTTACCCTGCAAACCGACCGGCTTACTGTGACGTGGCGCAAGCATCCATACGCCCAGATGAAGTACTGACTGCCCGTTGCGACTGACACTCTACCGACCGACACTTCCTCTATCCAAGCGGTCAGTACAACTGCTCGGCTGCAGAATCTCCAAACGATGGTGTGCCCTCGTAGCGGCAAATTATTCGAAGAAGGCGCGACCGCTTATACTAGCGCCTGATTAACCACGCAATCATTCATCTAGAAAACGCCTTTGTTATATACATTAACGCATAACTTGCCTGATTGTATCGCGAGATTTCGTCCTTTCCTCGAGCGAGTGCAACTCAGAGCGGACTCGGTCTAGGGTGGCTATACGGTAGACAAAAGATGTCCATGGTCGGTGCGCATGTCCTATGCAAAGCAGAGCCCAACAGACTGTGAGGAGTCCGCGACTCCGTGAGGTGCCGATATGTCAGTGGGATGTCCTTGATGCCGGTCCCCGGTCAAGGTGTTTTGTCAGAAGAAGTAGGGTAGGAAGGGATTTATCGGCGGGACAAGAGAATGCGGATCAGACATTGGTAGAGCTGGCTACCTCCTGAATATGCACGAGGGCGAAAGGGCCGCTATGCGCTATTGCAAGATGTGTTCGGTTAGTGTTCAATGTAACGCAAAGAAGGTGAACAAGTACTTTGAATTGTACAGTAGTAAAAAAGTACAGATAGTTTTGTGGCTGCAGAAATTAATTAGCAGCGCTCAAGAAGCACAATGTACGCTCAGTTTTGCCCTTGGCATGTCGCGTGGTTAATGAGCCCCTAGCTCACGCAATCTAGGCAGTTTCCCCGACCGGACATGTGCGAAAAGGGAATCCAGGACCGTGAGGTGGGCTAGTTCCTCCATGCTCCGCCTGGAATGCAACTTGCGGTACAGACATGCTGGACGCCGCCACAATATCCGATCCCATTTACACTGACCGCCGTCCGCGCATTCCCACTAAACATGAAAATAAAAACGGCCTTAGGGTCCTGCTCGTTGATTCAAAGCCTTTTGATGACTTTGGAGCTGAAATCGCGCCGACTGTTAAAGACTACAACTGGTTTTTGAATTTAACTTACATTTGACTGGCTTTTTTAATATCACATTTTGTTCACATCCACATTATTGCTTCTTACGAGTCTAGCCTTCGCCATCTTCAGCATCTTCGATAGCGGAACTTTCACCCAGCATGAGGCAACACCTCAAATAGTCAATCCGCATAAGGAAGTTTACGTTTTAATTGGCATTCGCAAAGCTCAAACTGACGAAGATCTGGCAAAGTGCAAGAAACACTGTCGCGCGGACATGCACCGGCCGAAACGGCGGTCAGTAATGAACGGGGAATCCATCACAATGTCCTGGGTCCCACCCCGAGCATGTTAGGACATGGAAACTGCTATGCTTCGACAGCTGAGGGCTCGTTGTCCACGGACATGCCAAGGGCAGCTGAGTGTACGTTGTGTCTTTGGACACGGAATGCTTACCAATGAATTCCGATAAACCAATCCGGGAAGAGCATAATGATGCTATTGAATAAAAAGGTCGATTATTACGATCCTTGAAGCTATACATTTACCGTCTGTCCTAAGGTTATAAAAGAGGAAATGCGCGGCGAAGTCGAGCCAGAAATAAAAGCAAAGATGAAAGCGCGACGCCGATCCGACTGTTGGTATATAATTCTGCGATCGCATTAAGATGCTGTTACTTCTGGCTGCCAGCAGCATAACTCTTTCTTTCTGGCCGGCAAAGACGCTTCCTGGGAATACGCGGACAGGAAAGCGCTTTCTCCGGCAACTGTCCCCTTACGTCTGCTTTACCAGTTGCTTCTTCGAGTCTAGCCTTCGCCATCTCGCTCTTCCGCTACGCTACACGCTCAGTTCCATCTGACTTGCTAAGAATTGCCTTCCACTGTTCTGTCGACTTTCTTCGCTACTACGTCAACTAACATTCACAAATCTAAGTGAATCCGAACGCTTGTGAAATGTGGTTGTGAAAACTCTTGCGCAGTGTTTTGATTTTGTCCATAGAAATAATTCCGACAACTGAGAAGTAGGATCTCTTAAAAACCGATCAAATGGATGCCAGTAATCAGTAATAAACCAGTAAACTGCTGGCAGTGCGTAATCATAGCACTAGTCATTACGAAGCAGAACCCTCGTCCTCGTTGTTGGGGGCCGTACATCCAAGGAGGGCATCATTACAGTGTCGGTGAATTACGCGCTTAATCTCCTTGAAGGTTGTCAATGGTTTTTTAGGCTAACGAAGGATCGCCAGCTACAGGTAGGAAAAGATTATTTAGTAATATTTGTTACTACACTTCTACCAAGCTGGATAAGCGCGCTACCCCTACAGCTACCTGTAGCTCTGCGATTCTTCCGTTAGTTAGTCCTGATATACGTACTTTTGGCACTGCGGCGTAAAACAGCAGTTATCAAAACAAAAACAGTCTAAAACTTGTAAAAAGCCTTCAGCCTTGCGGTTCACTGCCGATATCGGCTAACCGGCTCATCACGTTGAACGTGTGAGTGCTCGAAGGCAATGGCACAAATAGCCATTGAGCTGAGAGGTCAAAAGTGGCCCCGGTAGCGTAAGTGGTAACGCAACTGCCCGTAAGCAGAAGATGCGGGTTCGAGTCCCGCCCGTGTCCGACTTTTGCCCACAACTCAGCCTAGCTTGTGATACTAAATAATATTTTTCAGGTTATCTTATCACAGCCATCCTATTTCGCATGGTTGAACTCACTTATGGCCACTACCGAACTCTCGGGTAACAAAGTCAAGGAAACGATTGTGAACTATATGATAACGCAACTTATATTTGTGAGTTGACAGTATATGTCCGGCGACTGCTCAATATCAGAAACGTCGTCAAAGATTCATACCGCTAATGATTTGTCAGCTTGCAGGAAGATGCGTCAATTTCTCCGTGACCTCACTATGCGAAGAACTTGCCGGGAACCAACTTACGTTCCTTATGGGCTCAAGACGTAGGACGTGGAGTCAGGAGGCACGTGAATCTCGAGAGAGGTAGCTTCGAGCAGGTGAAAAGGCGATTTACAGAATTGGTCAGCAGCTTTCGCGAAGGTTCGATGGTGGAGACTATGCCACATTCGGTTGCGTAGAGACCATATTGAATCTCATGCCGTATGGACCAGGTATTCTTCGAATTTGCCATTTTCATCCTTCCAATAATACTTTTGGTGAGTGCTTCACGCTCCTCCTCCTCGTTGGTGAGAGTGAAGCGCGCCAATTCTGCTGCACAATCAGGTCATTTTTTAGATTTATTAGGTCATCCCATTCAAACGTGCCGCCGGTTTTATTTGAATAAAACAAAGAGGAGAATAGATAAAAAAGTAATATTTTAGCCTTAGGTCAAATAAATCCTCCCTTCACCAATGACCCGCTCCCAGTGCCCCGAAAGCCTTTGGACCTCTGGTACCTTCCATTTTTCAACAAGTGTGGGTAAGTTGCTGTTGAATAGAGTTTTCGGGAAAATGACATATGCATTTGTAAGGGTTTTGCCCGTCAGACGAGTACCCTCGACTAACCAGATCCAGTTGGGATCAACAACGTGCTTTACTGTTTGAGCGAATGGGGCGATTTACCGAGGTCTCAGTAAGTTGAGTTGTGTTCCCAGCCCTGCCCTACAATACCAGTTACTCGGGTCTGGCGAGCTATACGAACGTGGTCTTCTGTGTTGTGTGCTCCATCCATTTTGTCAATCTGCGTTGCCAACGGAATAGGCAACTTATCCACGCGACAAGCGACGATTTTTATTCTCTGTATAGAGCCGCCTGAAAGTCACAGTGTGGGAATCCTTCGCTATGATGATCATCCACTTGCACCCACGTAATTCCTCATGGTAGAATTTGGGCGGCTTCTCATCTGCATTCATACAAAATTGACGATTGTGAGTTTCGGCTCGAGGTCCAAGACCACCCATATTTCATCTAAGGTCGGGGTGCGTTTTCACAGTTGTGAGTGACATCTCATGCTGAGAACATTACTGCTAGAGGTATAGAATTGGTACTGCGTTCGTCTTCTATAAGAAAATTGGGTACCCATGCGCACACCCCCTTGACCATCCTCAGTTTATCGGTCATAACACGTACAGTAATTGCAGCAGGGATGTCAGTCTCGCGGGGAAACTCGACAAAGGTCCAGTCTTCTTCTTCTCCCTAGCGTTAGTCCCGCGCCGTCGCAGGGTCCGCTGATCTTGTTAGACGTCGCCACTTGTTCCGATCCACTGCATCTTCTGCTGTGGCTTTCACTTCAGTGAGGTCCCTCTTGATGACGTCCCTCCATCTTTTCTTTGGGGCTCCTCGTGGTCGCTTGCCCTCTACCTCGAGTTCCAATGCCTTCCTTATTGGGTGGTCTTCAGGCCTCCTCAGTACATGACCGTACCATCGCAGTCGCTGCTCTCGTGCCTTCAGCTGGATAGGAGCCGTCTGTGTGACCGCTCTGACGTCCTCGTTTCTGACTCTGTCGAGTCGTGTCCAGCCGCAGGCCCATCT